TAGTCAATTCAATCCTTTTTGGCCCCGCCCCTCAGGGCTTGGGACTAAAGCGGCCACTATTTTTGTTGACCTTTGTCCATGGAAGGTCCCTGCAAAATTTCATTGAAATTGGTTCAGGGGTTTTGGAGAAGAAGTCAAAAATGTAAATTGTTTACGGACGCACGACGGACAAAATATTTATTTAATGTTTGACTTCCTTGTGACCCTTATGTTTTCGTTAAAGCAGAAATGTAAGTAGGCAAGTTGTAAAAAGCGTAAGAAACAAATCACAATGGAAAATGTACAATTAAATTTTAATATGGTATACATGTATAAGTGTTTCAATGGACACATTAAACAGGATAAATTAAATTCTGTCATGCAACTGCATGGGTAAATCACTAACTGATAAAGATAATAATCACTAGTAATTTGAGTTAAATCTTGAAAGAATTTACTTACTGTTACATGACACTAAAATCATTTAACAGATTAAAGCACTTACATCATTAAATGAAAACAAAAATAAGAAATAGTACCTTTTAATTGTATACCCGGGCTCAATAGCAGAACATGCTATCCACTCATTTCAACTTTGATATCAAAATGACATAATTTTAATATCAAATACTTTAGATGCTTACCAAACTTAGTAGAGCTATCCAAAAGCACAAATCTAGGACCTGGTCACTGAACTGAAAACCAGGCAGATCCAAACTGTGATCACCAACACAAGATTTACCAATGTTTGTAGTTCATGGTGACAAACTGATCATATCAAGCACTGACATAAAAAAAAGTTATTGGAAAGTTTCCATGATAATACCACAGAAGGAGGTAGCTATGTAATGACCAACTTGTACAGTACAATCCATTTTGTACTCCATTTTGAATGAGGTCCACATATTGTATGAAAATAAGATCTACTGTCATGTATTTTTCAGAATTTGTTTACGCAAAAACTGATAAAATCTCCATCTCTTGGCCATAGACATATACTTTTTCTCCAAGTTCTCGACCAATTCTATAGATATAATATCAGCAGTCCAGGGACATCATCAGATCATCGTCCTCCTCCATCTCCTCGATACCACTCATCTGACCCCCTGGGGTGCCCTGACTTTCAGGAATCTTCTGAGACTTCGGCGTGCCTTGTGACGGACTACTGGAGTACTGAGAGCGGGGAGTGTTGGGGACAGGCTTCAGCGCTGGAAATCAAACAGGAAATATTGTTTTATCACTTTTAGTAGTTTTGTTATTAACAGTTATCTAAATGTACACCAAATTAAATACAAATAATTCCACTTTATATCACTTCTCATTTGTCAGAGGAACACATGACACAGTACATTTCAGTTAATGTCAATAATCAGTTAATATCATGTTTTCTCGAATCACGATTTCTTCTGTTGATATCATTATCCAGTCACATTTAACAGCGTGACATTAAGTAAAAAGTATATTTTGTAATTTTTCAAAATAAAATTAATATATTTCCCTATTACATAGATCTACACTCACAAACTAACACGTCAAAGAATCCAGGATGATCGGATAACATACACGACACATAGGTTTTCGTGTTTGTTAATAGCCCATTTTTGACCAAATCATTTGGGTCTTTTACACATGATCATGAACATGTTTAACAGTATAAGTAATATTGGTTTAAATGTATAGCATAACTTAAGATGAACATCACAAACACCGTGTATATACTGACATTCCTTCTTGTCCCCGCGAAGTATTCTCTGGCTCTCCTCGAAATACTGGTTCGGGTGATTTATGCTATTGATGTCCTGTTCCTCCACGCCTCCGTGTTTGGCCAGGAAGTGCTTCGTACACGCTACCCCATAGTGGCCACCTTTCACCTCAGTCATGATCTGTCCAACGATTGATCACTCAATTACAAAATGTTTGATATTATTGAATAAAGCAAAAGACCCAAAGGGCATTAAATCATTGTTAACAAAAACTCTACGATCTTTGTAAAACTCTGAAAAAGCTACACAGGAATTCTCAAATTTGTTGAATTAACTTTTCAATAAAGAATTTATCCTTTTATCAAATGAATGAAAAAAGCGGTTAATATACGCTTTACTGTGATAGCTATTGAGAGAGAGTTTCTTGAGAGTGAAACAATTCTACCTGTGATACAAATGCACACAACAACTTGTAAGTCACAGCCCATCCGTAAATCAATACAATACATATCAACATAAACCAGGAGACTAGTCAACCCTACCTTGTCTATGTGTTCCTTTGACAAGCTCTGTCCCCGTAACTTCTGTGCTAGTAGTGCTTCGTCGCAATGTTTAAATGGACAACCTGTATTAAGCATGAAAAGTCACATTGAGACATTATTAAATATCCTCTCATTGGGGTCCGCTTTTTGATAATGGGAAACCTCATACAGTCGTTGGAACCAGGGGCGACCGTTTCGCTCCTGGGGGGATATATTGGCATTAATCCTGGGACAAGGGGTGAAAGTTCACTCCTGGTAGGATAACGTCAGTAATCCGTGAGATTTCCATAGCTTATATATATATAGTATGATATAGCCTCCAAGGCCAAACCTTAAATGTAGATGATCATGAAATGTATATATTTGTGTATTGTTTATTTCTTCTGTTATGTGTATAAACATGTGTATGCTGATTTATAATACATATACAATAATTTTGGTCATGATAACATTGCATACCTATACAGTGCCATTTGTTAAACTGTATCATATTGTTCTGGTTATTTATAAATACAGAACAGTAAAGCATTTTAACCATTGTGGGTAAGGGCTCAACTTTTTGTGACAGAGGTTATATAGCTGAACTCTGAATTAGTAATTGAAATGGACAATAAAAGTTTTAACACAGGTTTTCTGTAGCGTAAGTAATGCTCGAAAACAGTTGGAATATCTGATTCCCTTAATTGATGACCGTATAAATGTTAATTTTTTGTACTTGGTATTTGAACATAGTAAATTTATGTACCAGGGTAGTAATATTATTAGCTCAATTACCCCTGAACACACATTTGAACTCTTCCAATTCAAAGGTTGGCATAGTTCATTATGAAACTTCAGGGGTGAATGAGTTAATAAAGATACTGAAACTGATGAAGGCTGACTACATCTGTCAAAATGTCTAAGTCTGGTGTCAGGGCCAGAGGAAACTTTCCAATTCCATACCTGACAACTATTGCTACTTGTGGTCTTGTGTAAATTTATTACTAATTCTTTTTTGTTGGTCATAGACGGCTTTATAAGCCTATCACGAACTGTACAGACTGGCCTTCTTTTTGTATCGGCAGCATATGGTACCAACTGGATTAGTTTAATCAAACTTATGACAAGTATTATAAAATATCTGTAGTTTGTCAATCTGTCATAGTCTAAAGGAGCCTGCACATACAGATTTGCAGGTCTGCCAGGATGTTTACCCATAAATTTTACACTTAAAAACAGACAAACCGGTTGAACTCGATATGCGAAAGGGGACTTCTTTTTCTAAGAACTCTTCTGCATTAGGATCTAGCATTGAAAGATTAGCTTGAAATCATGAATCGTTCTACTTTAAACCCAATATCAGCAGTATTCAGTAAACAATTATTCGGATCATAAATAATGTCGTCGATTAACCATTTTGTTTGTCTAGCTTACCATTACTCTAGAAGTAGATTAATAGCACCACCACTTAGTGTTTGGTTTGGTTTGTTTGTATTTTACGCCCTAATAACAGCTATGGTCATTTAAGGATATGCCAGGTTTTGTTGGAGGAAAGCCTGTGTTCCCGGAGAAAAGTCACCGACCCACGGCCAGTACCTGGTGACTGCCCCACGTAGGTCTCAAACCCGTGACCCAGTGGTGGAGGGCTAATGGTAGCAGAAAGACAGACGCCTTAACCACTTGGCCACCGTTGCCCCCCACATAGCGTTGAAGTTTTTTTTAAATTTGATACCATACATTTTTCATCATTCTGCAGGACAACTCGGTATGATAGTCACTACACTTAACAACAAAATGGATATCTTACCATGGTAGCTATAGTCGCCCTGTCCCGTGGCATTAGAACTTCACAACAAAATGGATATCTTACCATGGTAGTCGCCCTGTCCCATGGCATTAGAACTTCACAACAAAATGGATGTCTTACCATGGTAGTCGCCCTGTCCCGGGGCATTAGAACTTTACAACAAAATGGATGTCTTACCATGGTAGTCGCCCTGTCCAGGGGCATTAGAACTTCACAACAAAATGGATATCTTACCATGGTAGTCGCCCTGTCCTGGGGCATTAGACATGATGACTTTCATACAACTGTAGGGAGTATAGTTGGCCCTCTTCCCCTCCTTTCCATAGTTATGGCGGATATTATAGGAGTAATTCTTGTCAAACTGTAACATAAATTTTCATAAAATTATCTCTGAGGTTTCTCACTTGTAAAAACAATACCTACGTGTAGTTTATCATATTAAAAAAACAGAAATTAGAAATAGCAAAATTTCAGTATTGAAATGAATTCAAGTGGTTTTTGATGTAAACAAAATAAATTAAAATGAGAAATTAAACATACTGCATTTAGCAACCTTTCCTTCTTGACTGTAGAATAAGTTCAATTAATTTCATTGAAGGTTCTTTTATGTTATTTTCATTTCATACAAAGAAATTTGAAGCATTGACTGTTTAAATCAGGCTATCGGAATTTAAGTTATCATATGGAGGAATTTGTGGACCAAGTGATTACTTTTGGACATCTCCCACACTCATCATCATGAGCACAAGATGCATTTTGTGATCGATTTGCTGTCCCAATGAGATATATGTATGCATGTGTATATATTCCTATTCTTTTATAAACGGATATAAAATCATCACAATTCAACTAATATAATCAAAATCATCAAAACTGACACGATTTCAGAATTCAGTTCATCACAACAGGAGCTTACTGCAGAGGAACATTTACCTTGTCACCATCTATAAGCTTGGTGAATTCTTTCCTCCAGAAGGTCATAGCTTCCTCCAGAGACAGTCCAATCCCTTTGAGGAATAGCCCATATTGCTGGCGACCCCCATGGCGGAGATGGTGGTCTCTTTTCATTGATTCATGCAGCTGCTGCATACACATTGGAAATGACTGTTTGGAGAGCTGCAAACACACAACCCATACACATTGGAAACAACTGTTTGGAGAGCTGTAACCACACAACACATTCACATTGGAAATGACTGTTTGGAGAGCTGCAATCACACAACACACACATTGGAAATGACTGTTTGGAGAGCTGCGAACACACAACACACACACATTGGAAATGACTGTTTGGAGAGCTGCGAACACACAACACACACACATTGGAAATGACTGTTTGGAGAGCTGCGAACACACAACACACACACATTGGAAATGACTGTTTGGAGAGCTGCAAACACACACCACATACACATTGGAAACGACTGTTTGGAGAGCTATAAACACACAACACATACACATTGGAAATGACTGTTTGGAGAGCTGTAAACACACAACACATACACACTGGAAATGACTGTTTGGAGAGCTGCAAACACACACCACATACACATTGGAAACGACTGTTTGGAGAGCTATAAACACACAACACATACACATTGGAAATGACTGTTTGGAGAGCTGTAAACACACAACACATTCACATTGGAAATGACTGTTTGGAGAGCTGCAAACACACAACACATACACATTGGAAACAACTGTTTGGAGAGCTGTAAACACACAACACATTCACATTGGAAATGACTGTTTGGAGAGCTGCAAACACACAACACATACACATTGGAAACGACTGTTTGGAGAGCTGTAAACACGCAACACATACACATTGGAAATGACTGTTTCGAGAGCTGCAAACACACAACACACACACATTGGAAATGACTGTTTGGAGAGCTGCAAACACACAACACATACACATTGGAAACGACTGTTT